CATGCTAAGTTCGCCATGTAAATTCTTGTTGCTTTTTTCCACCTTTTCATTTGTGAAGCCAACTACAATCAAGCGCAGCTATTCCAGTGCTATTTAAACTTGATCATGTGGTTGTTGGTTTTGTTAATAATTCAATTTTTAGAATATTTAACTTTTAGGTGTGCTCGTCCTTAAGTTATTTGTTTTTGTTATTTTATGGCCTTATAACAATTATATTCAACAACTTTTATTGAGCTTGAGGCCGTTTTTAATGAAAAACTATTGTAGATAAGCAACAATAATTTTGAAAAAATGGTAGTTAGTTGGATCGAATCCCACTGAGAGAAGTCTGATAAGGAATTGTGGTGATTTCTGAAATAGCTATCACTTCTACCATTTTTTCAAAATTATTGTTGCTTTTCCACAATATTTTTTCATTAAAAACAGCTTCAAGCTCTATAAAAATTGTTGAATATATTATTTATTTTCGTTTTTTTTAATTAGGATATGTATAATGTTATACATTCGTTGAGCTGAAGGGACGTGCATAAGTTTCGCTCTTGCTTTTGTTGGCCATCGTTGTGTTAAATAGATTGTTTTTATCGTGCTTTCGCACACTCGTGGAGTTGGTAAACGCTTGCTAATATAATTCGCGTGCAGCTGATTGAATAGAATGTATTATCTTCTTAAAATAATAAATTAAAAACAATACAAAAACTGCAAAATCTTAAAATTTTAACCACGGAAAATGTCGCCTACTACTGTTGCTTCGTCCCAAAAGCATCATTTGAGCAAAGGCTCTCCGGCTGCTAAAGCCGTTAAACTGGATGAAGACGTTACCATCACCAGGGATCCCGTTTGGATCTAAATAGATCCAAATGGATACATTTTTAGACGAATTTTTGCGGCATACTAATTTTTTCCGGTCAGTATAAATGTGGATACTTTTTTAAATAGGCCAAAATTTTATATTTCTTATAAAGTTTTTTTCGTTCAAAAATCGATTTTCATTAAAGAAATTAGAAAGCATTACGTTTTATAAACGCATAAAGAATCGCTACTTAAGCGTGAAATTAAAGCATTTTAGTTTTTGTGAACGAAGCAATGAACATATGAAGAGATCTCACCAAAATAGGTATAAGCGCAATTGCTTCGACTAGCTTAAAAGGATGCTTTAAGCAAGATCTTAATAAACATCTCGCCGTTTAAAGTACAAAACCGCGTATCAACAAAATGCAAGACCACGTATGTGACGTTGCATAAATTATTTTCTAGAGAGTAAAAACACTTATATTTGAAAATGGTTCTCTTTTTTATAAAGCAATCGCACTTCTGGCTAGTATATTTCAGGACGAATGGATAAGGACTGAGCCAAGAGCTTGTTTCAGCAAATCCAATTTTTGGCAGCAAACGTCAGTTACGCAGTTTTGCAGAATGACGATACGCGGTTTTGTACTTTAAACGACGATATATATAAAGTAAATTATACTCTTTCTGTAGTAACCTCTTTCATATCACATACTTTCATTTGTTAATTTAAAAAGAAAGAAGATTTCAATGTAGTTTAAAAAACTAAATTTGATTTATTTAAGGAAACTTTTATGAATTTTACTGAAAAAATTTTGGTTATTTGCGCATATTGAGAGAGGTAACCAGATTCCTCTTTTAATGTGTGCAAATTTGCACGCCGTGTAATAAAATTAATCATTGCCTGTTTACTTTTACACATA